ATGGCCCGCACCCCCTTCCCAGGCCTCCCTCCCCGGTCCTCGGGCAAACTCAGCCTTTTTGCCCTTTCTCCGGCCCCGGGCCTGGCCGGTCTCTGTCTGCCCCCAGCGTCTCTGGTTTGGGCTCCCCCCCAGTGTCTCTTCCCCACCAGCCTTTCACTGTCCCGTCCACCAGCTCCTCTCTTCCCGGTTCTCATTCACACATCTGTTCCTCACTGCCCCCTCCCCCAACCTTCCCTTCTCTCTCCCACCCCAGCTTCTCCCGCCCTTTCATCTCCCCCTTCCTGGAGCTCACCCCACTAAAGCTGCCGGCTCCAGAGGCCAGGACTTCAAAAGGAGATCAAAGCTGGGTTCCCCCATCAAAGACCAGGCTCTGCCAGGAGCACCCCCCCTTAGACCATAACTCTCCCTGACAGGCCAGAGTCCCACATCCCAGCACCCCAGGAAGCACATTCTCGGCCAGAGCCCCATGCTGGAAAGGCTGCTGTGTTTGTTGGAAAGTTCCCAGCACTTGGGATTCAAAAAACTAGTGGAAACCCAATACAGGGAGCCCCTTACTGGCTGTGTGACCTTGGGCGGGTCACCGAACCTCTCTGACACACAGCTACATTGTCTAAATGGGCTATCGTAGGGGCGCCTGGGTGGCTCAGTCAGTTGAGCGTCCAACTTCGGCTCAGATCATGATCTCACAGTTTGTGGGTTCGAGCCCCGCGTCGGGCTCTGTGCTGACGGCTCAGAGCCTGGAGCCTGTTTCGGATTCTGTGTCTCCCTCTCTCTCTGCCCCTCCCCTGTTCACGTTCTGTCTCTGTCTCAAAAATAAATAAACAGTAAAAAAAACTTTTTTTAATGGGCTATCATTCATCTTACAGGACTATCAAATGGATTAAAGGAGGAAATTCAGGTAAATATCTAGCACTAGGCCTGTCTTATAATAGTAGGTGCTCAATAAATTGTTGCTTTGACTATTGCTGCTATTACAAAATCCTCCAGAGATGAGAAAATGTAGAAATGAGAACAGAGGTGTCCAGGGAGTGAGGCCTGCTGCTACCTCAAAAGACAGGGGTCCAAGCATCTCAGTTTTGGGCCCCGAAGGAACCACTCCATCTGGATCCCGCTCACCGGCCGGCCGGGGCCTCAAGAGCATGAGGCGGCCACTTGGAAGCCGCCTCGGCTTTGTCTCCAGCCTGGGCTCTCCTGCCCAGGCAGCCCCTTGTCCCCAGCCTCCGGCCCGCGTCCTTGCTCTCAGCCTGGGCCCAGCCCCACATCCCTCAAGGGGATGATGGCGTCTAGATGGGGTGGGAGGTGGGGCTAAGAGGCCAGGGCTGCATTTATGAAACTTTTCTGGGCTCTGAACATCAGAGAACTCCAAGGAGGACGTGACTTGAGTAAGTCCCTAAACCTCCTGAAGCTTGTTTTCTCATTTGTAAAATAAGGGGTGAGCTGCTTCAAATCCCCCTTTGGCTGCAGACTGTGCATACATTATAATTTTAAAGAACCGAGGAGGTAGAACTCAAGGCTTTCTGAGCCCCTCAGGACCAGGAGACTAGAAGCCGATCTTCAGCCCACACTGCTTCGACAGCCGGCAGCTGTGGCCACTCAGCATCCCTGCCGGAGCCTCTGCTGGTCCGGTTTCACCAGGAAGCAACCGAGGCTCGGGAGAGGAATGGGCCTGCCCCCTGTTCCCGTGTACCATCTGATGGGGACGATTCTCCCCAGATTGGAAACGGGCATATGGGAGCTCGGAGCCAAGGAACACAGGTCAGGCTCTGTGCCGCCGGCCTGCCCCACGGCCCGGGACTCTTCCGCCCCCTCCCCACTGCCCAGCACTGGCCCCACCCTACACGTCTGCCCCCGCTTATACCCCCAGTCCTAGGGCTCCCCAAGGCAGCATCCCACCCTCCGGATCACCGGCCCCCCGACACACTGAGAAAAGCGACCTCCTCCTTCCCAGCTTCCTGGCTCGGCAAGCCCTCCCTTGCCTGCCCCCAGACACACACCAGGGTCCCCTAGGTGTCGAGGGCTGGGCCAGAGGTGCCCAGCAGCCTGTGCTAAGGGAAGAGTTCCACACCTGTGCTTTCCAGTACACAGCCACTGGCTGCGTACTGTTCCTCACTGTGACGTTACTCCATCTTCGTTCCAACCTTAACAGACACGCGGCTAGGGGCCGCCGCACCGATCTACACACACAGCGGCACCACCAAAGGGTCTGGCCTCTGCCCCTCTCCTCTGCACATTCAGCAACGGACACTTCTGAAGCGGGCCCACGGGATGTTCAGGGTGATGAGGCGGGCAAGAAAAGTTCCTGCTCCCCGAATTCCAGGCCCCAGGGCAGCCTCAATAGTTGAGCCCCGAGTGGCCACTACCCAAATGTGGCCAGACGCAGAGCGGGGTGGGCAAGTGGAGGGTAGAGCGCTGCCCTGAGGGGCACAGATTGGGAGCCCCCAGGCCTGAGCCCCACCCCCCGCCCAGGCTGCCTTTTTTTTTTTTTTTAATGTTTATTTTTGAGAGAAACAGCATGAGCAGGGGAGGGACAGAGGATCTAAAGCGGGCTCTGTGCTGACAGCGGAGAGCCCAATGCGGGGCTCGAACTCGTGAACCGTGAGATCACGACCTGAATGGAAGTCAGATGCTTAACTGATTGAGCCACCCAGGCGCCCCCTCCCAGGCCTTCTGATTTGAGTCTTCCCTTCCCTTCCCAAGGACAGCCTTTGCTCCCGGGACACCTCACCACCTCAGGTGTTCTTTCCTTCTCTCTAGACCTGGAAGAGTAGGAGACCCAGGTCCACACCTGGAAGGGTCTTGGGAGCCAAATGGCCTGAGTCTTATGTTTAATATCACGGGAGGCCAGGAGCCGCACAGGCCAGACAGGGCAAGCAGGCCAGGGGCAGAGAGGGAGGGGAAGCCTTCCCCAGAGCCTGCCAGGCTCCTCCACTCATTAGGCAGAAGCACTCTGGCCTCAGCTGTCTTGGCTGCCCTGGCTCTCACTGCCAGACCCTACGAAACCGGGTTGGTGGGATGGAGCTCCCCCTGCTGGATAGCCCAGGAAACGTGCCCCAGTCTCACCCGGGTGAGCTGCGCCCAGGGAAGTGACAGTAGGATATGGGTGTTGGGTACCTGGGGTCCCTGAGACATCCCCGCCAGGCTCAGGGACATGGATGGAGCCGACAGAGGGGAGAAGATGGACTGTGAGGTGCCATTTGGTAGCCATCATTCTACCGGTTCCCTTCCTCTGCACCCCCTCCACCTCTCCCCGCTTTCCCTAGATACCCCAGGATCAGACCTGCCAGGCCCCTAGCCCTCCAGAGCCACCGTTACATCTGGGAAGACCACCTCCTGTTGCTAGCTGCCCACCTGTCACACCTGCGGCCACTTCCTCCAGCCTCTTCACTGGCCTCCCTGGGCTCAGCACCTGCCTCTAATGGCCATCCATATAGAGGACACGGTCCCCTCTCCATACGCACCCTGGCCCACAGCTGCTGCTTTAGGACAGCCCAGGACAGAAGCCTCACCTTGCATCCCAGTCCTCTCCGCCCAGACCCACAGAGCCCTGAGATTCCACTTCCCTCCAGCCCCACACATGAGGGAACAGGGGTGAACTTGAGAGTGAACGATTATAAACCGCACCCCATCATGTATGTGCATGGATCTGGCTAAGAGTGAGTGGGTGTGCAGGTGTGCATGCCTCCCCACTACCACACATCCTGTGGTACCCCAGGATGAGGTACCCCACTACCTCATCCTGTCACTGAAGCTTCCGGAGCTCTAGCCCCACGAGGAAGCTCCCCCAGCTTTCCAGAACCCCTCAAATCACCTCCACACTCAAATACCAAGCTCCTGCTTCCCGCTGCCCATCATCTCAGGCATCACAGGCTGATCCCCTAAAAGGGCCAAACAACTCAGACCGGACCATGGCTTCCGCTGGCCACTCAGAGCCTCAGTCACCTCTGTCTGGTCAGGTCCCCTTGCCCATCTTCAGGAATTGAGAGGTCCAAGAGGCCTGGGGGTTCCCAGATCATGAGGTCTTCCGGCGGGAAACTTACACAGCCTCTAGGCCAGTCCTGTGCCAACTGGTTCTCCTTAGACTGGGGAAGAGACAACCCAGGAAGTGACAGGGAGAAGTTCCCACCTTCCAGACTCTTGGGCCTGGCCAGAGCAAGCCATGTACCATTGACGGAGAGGGCCCTGGGGACATCTGGGCAGGGCCCCCACAAGGTGGCCATCTGTCCTCACTACTCGCAACTGCCCACAGGTAGGGCCCTGGGCGAGCAGGGGGAGGAAGGAAGCCGCGTGGCCTGGTAGCCACAGTCCCCAGGGCACCGGACCAAGAGGCAGCCGTCTCCGATCTCCGGGTCTGCCTTTTCCTTGCTCCTGGGCCAACGAGGCCCAGCGGATGCCAGATCGGACCGGCTTGCGTGAACAGTGATGGGTGGGGGGCAGGAACGGGTCACCCCCAGGGCAGCTTAGGAAAGCCTCCACCTTCTAGCTAGGAGAAACTCCACTCCCAGATTCCCCATCTCATCCCCAATCCATGGGCTGAAGAGGCTTGAGGGGGCCCTCATCCTCCCCACCAATACTTTCCCTCTCAAGAGCCCGCCTGCCACCCAAGATTTGTTGTGGGGATCGCTAAAGGATGGAGCCAACCCTGCCGGAGGCTCAGGAAGCTCTGGAGGAGAAAGGCCCTGCAGAAGGTCAGGACAGCAGAAGGGAGTGTATAGGTAAAAAGGCCTAAGAAGGAGCTGGGGCCAATACAGCCTTTCTGGCCGTTGACAAGAAAAGCGGTTCATGCCATCATCCACATTTCCAGCCGGCTTCTCCTGGCCCGACCCCCTCACCCCCCACCAGCCAGAACCCAGTCCTCATGCCCAAACCAGAACCCAGAGACAAGAGGTGTGCAGAAGGGCCACAGACTTGAAGTTCAGAGAAGCTCACAACCCCGGCCCCAGCCTACGTCCTGCTAACCTTCGTGCAATTTTTTTATCACAAGGCAGGGTGGATCACTGTACCGTAATCCCTCCACTCTGATTTCAACAGGGCGTTTGTCCAAACATGTACGGGACAGAGAGGAATGGGCTGCGTGGCACGGCTAGGTGGGCTCCAAGGTCAGTACCGCGGTGCCCTAAGGAGCGCAGCGTCGTTTTACAGAACCCTCTCGTTGGCCCAGTTCCAACTTCCTCGTGGTTTCTTTGAATGCAGAAATTGTGCACATCGAAAGAAACAGAGCTGAAAGGAATTCGAAATTATTCTGTAGTTAAAGTGGTAATCCAAAAGGTCTGTGAAAGATGTAAGGTTAAAACAAAACCCCTGAATTACATTTAACAGAGATGAATGTGTCGTCCTTTATGTAAGTTCAAACCTCAGTCACACACATTTGGGATTAGCAATTCCCGGCTCGGTTGCCATTCACGTAAACTGTTGCATCGACAGCATGTTTCAAATGAGGTTAACTGGGGCGCCCGGGTGGCTCAGTCCGTGAAGCATCTGACTCTTGGTTTTGACTCAGGTCATGATCACCGTTCATGGGTTCAAGCCCCACATCAGGCTCTGTGCTGACAGCAGGGAGGTTGCTTGGGATTCTCTGTCTCTCTGCCTCTCTCTTTCTCTCTTAAAATAAATAAATCAACTTCAAAAAAAAAAAAAATGAGGTTAACAACTTTGGGGATTTGCTGAAGTTGGTTGACCCGGCCCCACAGCTGGTTAACTTAGCTATTCGGTAACGACATCAATGTGCCCAGCTTGTTTCCTTGCCTGCTTGGGTGTTTATTGGTTTTATTTTGTTTTTATATATTTCTGCCCCAGTTAGCCTCAGTCTACGTACATGCCTTCAAGTCAGGTCCACTCACAGTCACAAGATAGCTGCCCCAGCTCTAAGCATCACATCCAGGCTCAAACTTCTAACAGAAAAAGAGGCCAGCTCTTCCTCTTTTTAAAAGGGAGGGAATCTTTCCCAGAAGCCCCTGGGCTTCTCCTCCACCTCCGTGGCTACAATTGTGTCAGGTGGCCGGGTCCTTGCCTAAATCATTCATTGGAAAGGGAAATGGGCTCACTACGACTCCTTAGCCAGTTCTGATTCTCCCTTTGGTGCATGGGGACTTGCTTAAAATCAGGTTTTGAGTTAGGAAGGAGGGAAAGGGGTGATGGAGAGAAGAGAGATGATCAGTCTCCTTCACCACTGCATCTGGGCAGTTCAGACTGTCTCGAGAGACTGGATTAAAAACATAGGCAGGGTGCCCCGGGTGGTTCAATAGGTTATGCATCTGACTTCGGCTCAGGTCCCGATCTCACAGCTCGTGAGTTCGAGCCCCGCGTCGGGCTCTGTGCTGATGGCTCGGAGCCTGGAGCCTGCTTCAGATTCTGAGTCTCCCTCTCTCTCTCTGCCTCTCCCCCACACACTCTCTCTCTCTCTCTCTCTGTCTCTCAAAAAATAAATAAATGTTAAAAAAAATTTTTTTTTTTAAAGCACAGGCAGGGGCACCTGGGTGGCTCAGTGGGTTGAGCGTCCGACTTCAGCTCAGGTCATGAACTCACAGCTCGTTGAGTTCGAGCCCGCTTGGGCTCTGTGCTGATGGCTCAGAGCCTGGAGGCTGCTTCGGATTCTGTGTCTCCCTCTCTTCCTCTCTACCCCTCCCGCACTCATGCTCTGTTTCTGTCTCTCAAAAATGAATAAACATTAAAAAAAATTTTTTTTAGGGGCGCCTGGGTGGATCAGTCAGTTAAGCGCCACTTCAGCTCAGGTCATTGATCTCACGATCTGTGAGTTTGAACCCCGTGTCGGGCTCTGTGCTGACAGCTCAGAGCCTGGAGCCTGCTTCGGATGCTGTGTCTCCCTCTCTCTCCCTGCCTCCCCCCCGACACACACTCTCTCTCTGTCTCTCAAAAAATAAATAAAAGTTAAAAAAATTTTTTGTTTTTTTTTAAAAAGCACAGGCAGGGGCGCCTGGGTGGGTCAGTGGGTTGAGCATCCGACTTCGGCTCAGGTCATGATCTCACAGCTCGTGAGTTCGAGCCCCACATCGGGCTCTGTGCTGACAGCTCGGAGCCTGGAGCCTGCTTCGGATTTCTGTGTCTCCCCCTCTCTCTGTCCCTAATCCACTCACATTCTGTCTCTGTCTCTCTCAAAAATAAATAAACATTTAAAAAATAAATAAGAAAATAAATATTTTTTAAAATAATAAAAAATAAATAAAAAGCACAGGCAAAGCCAAAGCAGGGGCTTCTGGGCCGATCCCAGTCCTCTTCTGCCCAAGCGTGGGCTCTCAGCCCAGCTGGGGCTGGAATTAACACCCACTGTACCAACAGACATCTATGGAGCCCCTATTGTGCCCAAAACAAAAGGAACGAAAGAGAACTGTCCATTCGATTTCTGATTCAAAGAGTTTATGACATAATTGGAGGAAGGAGACAGAATGTATGACGGAACCAAAAAATAGTAATTCCGTTTGCATAAACCCCACGTGAAAATCAGCCAGCTTTCCTATGCCTAAATAGAAAAATAGTAATTTAAGATTGGCACCCAGCAGCAGAGGAGCGGAGACAGACACTCCATGCTCTTGGGAACACAGAGGAAGAAGAGTGGTGTTACTAAAAATAATAGCAGCTTTAACTATAGTCAGTTAATAGTTATAGTTAATAGTAACAAACAAAAATGGACATTTCCAGATACAGTGAGACCATCCCTTGCTTGGGGAGAGTTGTCAGGGAGGCTGGGTGACAAGAGACAATACAAGGAGGCTCCTGCAGGCGTGTGCCCACCTCACTTCTAAGATCTTTGTGTCCTTGCTCTATAGAAAATAGGACATTACAATGGTTTTTCTAAAAAATAGAAACTCCTAAATTTCTAAGGGTGCCGAATGTGTTGGGCCCAGTGCTGGGAGCTTTGGGTACATTAGTTTACATTAGTTGAATTCTGAATGATCCACATGCTCCCTTGAAGCCCTTTTAAGGGTTTTGGAATCATCCTTTCCTTTAATATTCAGGCAAACGTGGTCCCACGCCACACGCTCTCCCAGATTCCTGAGAATTGCCAGGAATGACCCGGCATTTTCTTGATTCCCTCTCACTCTGATTTCCTCTTCTTTCTCAATCTTGCTCTGTGCTCCGGAGTCTCTGCTTTTTTTGTCTTCACGTTGACCTGCAGAAGTGGGGATTCTGAAACCAGACCTGGGGTGGGGGCAGGGAGAATCCAGGAAGGCTTCCTGGAAGACCGGGCAGTGTTTTCTGCCTTTTCCTTCATTTCCCCCTCCCCCCCCCCACCCCCACAAACGTTACTGACATAAAGCAGAACCTAAGAGAATTCTACCGAAAGTTGGGAGTAACTGGGGAAGAGCTGGAAGTTTTCTAAGCCTAGCAAACAGCCCGAAACTTAAAACCAGACCTCCTGTCCTCCAAGTCCCTCTCCTGCCCTCCACACCTCTGGAGGTGTCTCCAGCCTCTATCCTCCAGCCTCCAGTCCAGCCGCTGGGCTCCCTCACACCTGCCCCACTTGTTTCGCACTCTTTCTGCATCTTCCTCTGGGGGTGAGGGCTGGCTGGAGAGCTTTATCTGTCACAGTCAGAAGGGTCCTTTTCCTAAACAAGGATCCCTGTCTCCCCGCCAACGGTTAGCGCCTTTCCCTAGAATGCAAAAGCAGCTAGAGACACACGCTCGATTCACAACAATCTGTGACACAGTGACCGTTGTTTACACAGGGAGGAACTGAGGCTCAGTGTGCAGTTAAGAAATCTGCCCAGTGTCACAGAGCTACTACACGGTGATGTGTGGATTTGAAACCGGTCTGTCGGCTCCAGAACCACCCCCTTTAACTACGACACTCATCTTCAAAGAGGCAAGGCTAAGGGAACCTTGAAGGATGGGGAATATACCAAGCAGAAAGCAGAGGCAGGTGCAGCGCCCAGACCAGCTGAGCTGACCAGCAGGCCAGAGCCGGCCCGGAGGCAAGGAGCCTGGGAAGAGGCTGGAACAGAGGAAGGGCACCCCCACCTTAGCATGGAGGCCCGAGGGAAGGAGATCAGGGGGTAGACTGGGAAGCTAATTAGGGGGGAAAACTTAGTGGACAAGTGGGTCAAATCCTACAGGAGGACCCACCTTGGAGGGTGAGAGAGAGAGAGGGGCCAAGAATCATCCAGATTTCTGACAGGCAACTGTCACTGTCACTGATGTTCACTGAGGTAGTGGCCATCAGGAAGGCGGGGAGGGGGTGTTTACGATGTGTTCGCATTTGCCCACGTGGAGGTGGAGGTGCCTTTGAGGCGCCAATGAGAGAGCTGTGCATAAGTGTACATGTGTCGGGGTGCGGTTCTGCAGCTCTGGAGACAAGCCCGCACTGGAGAGGCGGTCACGGGCCTATGGATGGTAATTAAAGCCATGGGGAGGAAGGATGGGCTCACGCAAGGCAGCCTGTGGAGGGAGAGGCAGAGGGCCTCAGATACCACCCGCAAAGCACTCCGGGGAACGGAGGGCCCAGGAGAACCACCCAACGAGCTAGCTGGGCTCTTCCTGGCATTGAGACGTCCCACGGCTTGCTTTCCATTGACGTTTCCAGTGGGAACCTCCTCCACGCTCCTCTTCTTCCTCTTGTACTCTGTCCCTGTCAGGTGCAGTTTCTGGTAAGAGTTGAAACTCTTCAATAGCGCCCACTTAGCAAAGGAGCCCTTGGGGTCTAAGCGGCCTGGGGACGCCCCTTTCCAGTAGGACTGTAGAGTGCACCCACTTTCTTGGGCTAAGGAGATCTTCCATGGGCCAGTGCCAATTGTGAGCGGCTAGGGTGTCCAAGGATCACGGGGTTTTCTTCTCCCCCGTCCACCTGTGCCCTTGCTATGAGCTACTCAGCATGTGAGGTCCCCCTCCTTTTAGGACATTTTAATGCAACCTTCTTTCCTCCAGTCTGGGCAACGGAGATATTCCATTCAAAGGCAGCTGTGAATATGAATGTTAGTATCCCTGCGGGTGGGAGTTGAAAGTCCTAGGGGCCAGGCTGAGGGAGCACCCCCAGTTGGGAGCAGCAGAGTGAAGCATGTAAAAGCGCAGTCCAGGGGGTGCCTGGGTGGCTCAGTTGGTTAAGCGTCTCACCCTTGATCTCAGCTCAGAGCTTGATCCTAGGGCCGTGAGTTCAAGCCCCACATTGGCTCGGCTCCACGCTGGGCTTGGAGCCTACTTTAAAAAAAAAAAAAAAAAAAAAGCAGTCCAAATGAGATGACATTAGGGACGGCTGGGGAGTGGGCATG